AAAAAATGTATTGCTATTCAAAAGAAAATCATTCTGAATATTTCATTCGATTCAATTAAAATTGTTTAAAAAATAATCACTTTTCCGCGATAAAATGTCATTACAAATAGACAAAAAAAAAACATAGCACCTCCCCCTTTCCATAAACTAAGTTGGTACGATAAATTACTTACAAAGTGTCTTGTATTTTTCATACAACGTTATCAGATGGTAACAATTCATTTGTGTCTTACTTCATGCAGTAACAGTAATATTTTTATTGTGTATGGATAATAATTTCTAAGGTTTATATCTAGATTAATTAGTGAGTTTTATTTCACATTAAAAATGAGCCGTAGGCGTATTAAAACCTGAACGCATTCGAAAGGAATATCCAACTTTAGTGTGGTCGGTAAAATAGGATGCTAAATTTTGCAAATCTTTATAAAAACAATATTTGTTTGACGGTATATAAGTCAGATAATGCATATTGTAAGGTTTTTCTTGTCGTAGAACACACCTCGGGGTGTGAGGATTGCCCATTTGATCAATCCTGACACCCCTCGGTGTGTTCTACGACAAGAAAAACCTTAAAATATGCATTATCTATAACGTAGTGTTTTGAATATTTCACCAAAGAAACCTGCTGTATTGAGATATAATTTCTATTATTATACCTTACATATATTACAAACAATTCTATTGGGTAACATGTTATCACGTGACATATTTTGGAATAATTCAGCTATTTTCATTTAATTGCAAGGAAGGACTAGTAACCCTAAAAATTTACACCAGCGGTGAATAACCCTATTATTCACCGACGAATAACCTTTTGAGTTTCTTGATTTGTACACGAGTTATCTCCCATGAAAATGACGTCACAGACGTAAATAAACAATTTGGCAACGTTCATGTTACAAAAAACCCATCGAGAGACGAGGCAATAATTCTTTGGACATGCATCTAGTGCCGATGATAACTCTTATAAACGGTCCTTTTCAGGGCCATCAATATTTTGCAAAAAGATCTAGCTTTGTTGTACATACGAGAAATTATAAGACTTAAATTTGATTTTCAAACGTCAACTTGTGTAAGGCAAGTGCTTTATCAATGATTCAATAGGCCCTTCCACTGTAAGCTCGGTATAATAAAACAATTGTGGCCCCTTAGAAGCAATGAATATCCAAAATTGTCAACCCTAAAAAATTATTTCACTTCTGGCTGCGCCCTCAGTGAAGGAACCTTCTCATGTTGACAATTTTGGATATTCACCTTTTCTAAGGGCCATAATTGTATATTGTTTAGAATGTGTTTTTCTTTCTTTTTAGAAATGTCCATATAAAAAGAGATTTTAAGTGAAGATCAGTGTCCAGTGGTCTCTTAAATATTTGTTCTAAACTTTTTTGTCATAATTCTACATGACAATGTACATACCTGCCAACTGTCACTATTTGTGGGGGATTTCCTCCAAGGAAGCTCCCAATTGGAAATTTTGAAGGAGCTTTTTTTCCCATAATTTAAAACAAAACAATCAATTTTACCATAGGTATAGGATTGTAAAAGTATTAAGAAGAAGCAAGTAAACAACATTAAAATAAATTTAAAGGCCTCTTTTAAGGTTTTGTAGGACTATGAGAGCATCATGCACGTAAAACCCCCATGGGCATTTTGAAATGTTGGCAGGTATGAATGTAAACAAGGCTAGTCTTTCTCAATCATATATAACTGTTTTCTTATCAAAAGAATCGATCATTAAAAAATGATTGAATGTAAAACTTAAATGTAAAACTGCCATACAAGTGAGAAGTTTAGCTAGCTATAAAACCATGTTAAATAAACCATTTTCTACATAAGAAAATGTCCGTACCAAGTCAGAAATATAACAGTTGTTATCCGTTTAAAACGGAGTACAGTGTACAAGGATCCTATTGAAAACATACGATTAGCTTATACTTTTTCTTCTTTTATTTTTAGATGAACTAGAATAGAAATTCAACATATCAAAATCGTCTGCCATATTTATTTATCACATTCACACATATATACAACTGCCATACAAGTGAGAAGTTAAGCTAGCTATAAAACCAGGTTGAATCCACCATTTTCTACATAAGAAAATGACCGTATCAAGTCAGAATACTTGCTTCTTCATACTTTTACAATCCTATACCCATGGTAAAATTGATTGTTTTGTTTTAAATTATGGGAAAAAAAGCTCCTTCAAAATTTCCAATGGGGAGCCGCCTTGGAGGAAATCCCCCTGCAAATAGTGACAGTTGGCAGGTATGTACATTGTCATCTAGAATTATGACAAAAATGTTAAGAACAAATATTTAAGAGGCTACTGGACACTGTTTCAAGAGAATCCACATGAAGTGTCACATGTACAATTTACATTAGAATTTAATATATGTGTAATATAATGTCGACATGAATTAAAGATGACGAGAAGATGTTCCTTTAAACAGGTATCAAAATCGTCTGCCATATTCATTTATCACATTCACACATATATACAACTGCCATACAAGTGAGAAGTTTAGCGAGCTATAAAACCATGTTGAATCCACTATTTTCTACATAAGAAAATGTCCGTACCAAGTCAGAAATATAACAGTTTTTATCCATTTAAAACGGAGTACTGTGTACAAGGATCCTTTTGAAAACATACGATTAGCTTATACGTTTTCCTCTTTTATTTTTTAGATGAACTAGAATAGAAATTCAACATATCAAAATCGTCTGCCATATTTATTTATCACATTCACACATATATACAACTACCATACAAGTGAGAAGTTTAGCTAGCTATAAAACCAGGTTGAATCCACCATTTTCTACATAAGAAAATGTCCGTACCAAGTCAGAAATATAACAGTTGTTATCCATTCGTTTGATGTGTTTGAGCTTTTGATTTTGCCATTTATTTAAGTACTTCTCGTTTTGAATTTTTCTCGAAGTTCAGTTTTTTTGTGATTTTACTTTTCACACAGATTTATACAGATATGTACCAGGAAGATCCCGGATAGTACTGGCTGATTCTTATAAATATTGTTTAGTTAAAGAGAAAATGTGTTGTAAATGTTTTGAAGAGTACACAATGAGTTGTTTTTTTTAAGTTATTGTTAAATAAGGAAAACAAAGTTTGCTTAAATATAATGACAAGAATAAAAAAGTAATTGAAGTGTTTCGATACGAAGGTTGTTTCATCTGATTTAGGAGCAATTCATTCAAACGCTGGACCAAACCAAATTTGAAGATAAAAACTATAGTTGAGAAACAGCAATTTGATTTGAAAAAAACATTGATTGACAATTGTTTCAAGAGAATCCCCATGAAGTGTCACATGTACATTTTACATTAGAATTTAATATATGTGTAATATAATGTCGACATGAATTAACGATGACGGGAAGATGTTCCTTTAATAATTGAATGTATGTGTTGATGGCATGCACATAATATGCATGAGCATACAGAAAGACCCAATCCGAAACAAGTTTTTACATTCAATCATTTTTTAATGATCGATTCTTTTGATAAGAAAACAGTTATATATGATTGAGAAAGACTAGCTTTGTTTACACTATATTACTTATTACCGTATAATATTTAATGCTTTATGAATGAGAATATTTCAATTTTCTCTCCGTCGTCTGCAGCAATCATCTGTAACAAAAATATACCATCACGATTGAGGAAGTCAGTTAGTTTTTAATAGAGGAATAGATTGTTTCCACAATTAAATTGTGTTTAGACAATTAAAGCTTTGTGTATGACCAAATAATTTTTTTTCGATATTGAAAGTAGTTGTAATACGATGCGACATTACGATAGAGGAAGTATTTGAACTTAAAACTGCTTCTAAAAGTAGAACTTCCTTTTTGTGTTTGTGTTTTTCTCATTTAAACCACTTTTTTCTATTCTTTTTTTTTACATTTTTACCCTTATTCCCTATTCTTTATGTTTCCAGTCATTTTTTGTTCTTCATCTGTTTTTGCTAGTTTCATCTCTTTTCTGTTTATAGTATTTTCCTATGTTCCCAATTTTTCCCCATTGATCTATTTGTAAATAAACAGTCTACTACAATATCGTGTATTCAATAGTTAAATCTAGCTTTGAAATAGCTTTTGGTAACAAAAAAAAAGGTTCTCTAAAATTGGCACATTTTGGGTAAATTATTTTTGTACTTGTACCTCTTTAATCGTCAAGCCCTTCTCAATATTTATTTATTGTTATTAAACACCGTACATTCACATGTAATTATTCACATCTCTGACTCTGATCTATAGATACTTGTCGCATCGGCATTGTCATTGGCAATTACACAATACCTAGGTTAGGAGCCTTTAATCAAGTGGTAATCAATTCTTGGCGTCTATCATAATTGTTTTTCTTTGGAATTGTTTCATATTTTGTTTGTGAAGATTGCTAATAGTAAACAATATAAACCCTGCTTATTTTTTCAGTTTATCGAAAGAAGTATTGCATCGGAGTTCAGTATTTTTGTGATTTTACTTTTTGCATCGGCAGTCATGTAACATCTCCTTATTCATATACGTTTTAGCATTATCAATATAAATTTATCTGTATATTTGTATTTTTGGGCCATTTATAGCTTTTTACACATTATGACTTAGGTGGAGAGTTGTCTCATTGGCACTCATCAATTCCCTCTGACTTCCAAAAATGTGATGTGGAAACTTGTCCATACACACATACATCGGACGTACTGTACATATTAGTATATATAAATGACTTTTATAAATTAAGTCTTGCTGTAACATTGATTCAGCGGAAGTCAATCCTACCTTTTTTATTAACTTATTAATCGTCATAGATATTTCTTTTTTTAACATACATTGTATTAAAGATATTCGGATGTTGTTTAGATCTATACATACAAATTTGATTTCACAGTTTCTTCAGAAATCAGTGAGCCATATAATAGACGTCATTTAAGTATATCACGCACCTATGTTTATTTAAATAATTATTTCTTCCGGAAGTAATTCCAGTCTTTTAAAAGTGATTGTTCCTGTTCTTAGTTAATATCTGTTGATTATATTGCGACGTCCGAAAAGGTCTTTTTAACCTTGTCATATACAAAAGAGGCGATGGCTAAAGTTCTCCTAGCAATCTGGACTTTTATCCTGCAAGCAGGTAAGTAGTTTTGTTTTATTAGAAATTATACATAAAAAGTGCGATATTGATGATAATTGATAACGTTTTCCTGTCAATATGTTATTACATACTGTTATGAAGGTCTGGATGGGGGTTTACAGAATAAAGAATAATGGGGAAATACTACATAAAAAGGGGCCAAAGTAACACAGACTACAGAGAATGAGGCAAACAAAATACAGAATAGATATTACTGGGGTGTTTAAATAAAAAAATAATAGACAAAACATACATACATGTAATACATAAAGAATTGTGCAAATTGTCTGTTATCATCTTTTGATTTTCGTTGTCTACAAATATAGTCCCTAGTGTAGACAGTGTGTTGTTTTTATACCCTTTCCAAACTGATTTCTTCATGTTCAATACCTCATATAGCAAAAAGGATGATGAAACGACACCGTAAAAAAATTGGGTCATGAATTTAGGTCCAGCTAAACAAGTTTAAAAATTAGTATTCCGGAAAGTGTCAAATAAATTGAAGACCACCTTTATATAAGATTGTCTATATTTTGAGTAAGAGCTGATGACTTTTTCTATAGTTTTATAATATTTGTCTCAAAAGTAGTACACCACACTGTAACAATTATATTGAGAATTTCCATTTATTGTCTAAATAAATGTCAAATATGGTCTTCAACACGGAGCCTCTGCTCACACCAAACAGCAAGCTTTACAAGGCCTCAAAGACTGACCAGTGTAAAACCATTCAAACGGGAAAACCAACGGTCTAATGTATATAAAAAACGAAAATCAAGACACATTTATGAACAACATCAACAAACGACAATTACTAAACATCAGGTTCCTGACTAAGGACAGGTGCAAACAAATGTGCAAACAAAACGTTTTAATAGGTACCAACCTTCAACCTTACCTGAAACAATAGTGTAACATCACAACATAGAAAGACACATTATACAATATCAAATGAAATGACTTTATTCGATCAAAAAACATATGAAAACAAACAAGTGAATATACACTAAACGAATACATTTGATCTCTGACACAATGTTAATACAAAATCAATAAAATAAGGGGTGAGATAATAAACAATTTCAGAAAGGCAGCCATATCCTTGAACAAAATGCCGCCGTATAAATGATATAACGATGAAAACCTTAAACAAAATGCCGCCAAATAATACTGTACACAGGTAAATGAAAATAATGTTGTAGAGTAATGGCGAACGGAAATATTTTTTACAAAATTTGCAGGAGTGAAAATGTATAGTCATACCTAACATTATCAAAGCCGGTATAATTAAATGACAAATAGAGAGACGAGATATAACTTTAAGAAAGTAAACAATAAAAGAAAAAAAAAACATTACAAATTGTATCAACGGGTCAAATTAACACGAAAGTACGATTTGAGAGTATTCGCAATTACTGAAAGCTAGTTAAAAGCCAAAAACAATTAACTATAAAAAAAAGCATGAATCGTTACTATATAGTTTACAAAGGCTACTTTGCTATACAAACATAAATTCCTAGTTTCTTGTGAAGTTAAATGCATATACATTTTTGTAGTTCTCTAATTACATGTAACATAATTGACAAATATTCATCAGGTAAATGTGCTCAATATGAAAAGGCTACTATAGTATATTTTTATAGTAATAAATCTAAGATTACGTTTTTTCAAAATAAGATATAGAAACACCCAATTGCGACAGATAGATATGCATGACAAGGAACACAGAACAAATCGTCACATGTAGCGGTTTAAAACCGAGAAACGTCATTTTCAAAAATTATAAGTAAACTAAAACCGTCCTTTTTAAAATTGAGAGTAAATGGGTGTAATTCAGATTAGAAATAGTTAAGATGAACATGAATATCGAACTGGAAAACAAAACCAATTACCCCATAATAGAAATAGGAAGTTATGGTATGAGTGCTAATGAGACAAATCTCCTTCTAAGTCACAATGTGTAAAAAGCAAACAATTGTAGGTCAAAGTACGGTCTTTAACACGGAGCATTGGCTCACACCGAACAACAAGCGATATAGGACCCAAAATGACTAGTGTAAAAGAAATCAAACATGAAAACTACGGTCTAATCTTTAGAAAAAGAAGAAGAAGAATTATTTATTATAGTTTAACCTGAATATACAAATAAATACATGTTTTAAAATACAAAATAATCAGCCAGCCAAATTGGCTTATGGTGCACTTTCTGATAACAATAATATATACTATATAGATAAAAAACGAGAAACGAGAAACACTTATCAACTACATCAACAAACAACAAACACTGAACAACAGGTTCCTAACTCAAGACAGCTGCAAACAATTGCATTAAGTTTTGTTTATCTATTTGTGTGATATTTGTACGTTGATTTATTCTTTTTTATATACAGGTTTTTCAAAGACAACGCACATTAAAATGAATGATCAGATTATCAACCTTATAGATTTTTCGAGGAAAAATTTAACAACAATGCCTGATGTTCTGCACAATTCTACAACAGATCTATATCTTGGAGGAAATTATTTACACGTAGTTCCCGCATGGTCTTTCCGGAAATCAAGAATATTAAAAAACATAGATCTGTCTGATAATAGGATTAGGTTTATTGAACAGGGAGCCTTTGATGGACTAGTTGAACTTTCCATTCTCAACCTTAGAAGTAACTTGTTAACTTCAAATTCTCTTTATAAGAATATTTTTCAAGGTTTAATTTCTCTTCAGGATCTAGTTATACATGATAATTATTTTATCGATAATAATACATTTTTTCAAACCGTAATATCTCGAGTAAAATCATTGGTCAAGTTACACATTGATCTGAGTAGACCACACCAAATATATAAATGTCTTTGTAATTTATCAAAGCTACAGGACATTGAAATTTTTGAATTGCATGGACTGACATATTCAGACAAATTATTTCAAAACTTAAAGTGTCTTAAAATAGAAACATTATGGATTGATTCTGTGCTTTCACTAGCACCAAACACGTTCATGTCTTTTCCGAATTTAAAAACGCTAGGGATAGCGATACACACCGCTCGTGCTACGTACGACGTAATAAGCAACATATTTCATTCTTTGAAGATTTTCAAAGGTAGAAATATGACACAAATAAGCATTACTGGAAATCCTCATAGAAACGGATTTGTATTGGGCCATTCTCACTTTGCAGTACTTGAAAAAATATGTCTACAAAAGTTGAAATTGGTCGGTGATAGTATACTTGGTGTAAAGTTCAATCCTTTTTTGAGATACGGACGTAAGGAGAATTGTTTAGAAGAATTAAATTTGTCTGATAATTTACTGTTCGATAGCAAAGATAGCTATGTATTTGCTTTTTGTGCGTTTAAGCATTTAAAAATAATCAGAATTCCACATATGGTTGTTAAAGACAATAGAGTAAAACGATCCACCAAAAATGACGTATCTTTCTCGTTTTGCCTTCCAAAAACATTAGAACAATATGACCTCCATTGTCACGTAAAATCATATAATAGGAGGAGAATTTCAAATATAACTATTATCAACGGTTCAAATTTAAAAGTTTTGAATATGGCTAATGTTACATTCCGGGATTGTAATGGTACGGTTAAAGGCGCTACAAATTTGGAGTATTTTGATATGTCAGGATTCAACTGCAACGTTTTGGGTGTTAATCTTCTTTCACATTTTCCTAAACTGATCACTCTCATTGCACAAGATGCCAATCTTGGAATCGGTTTGAATGCCCTTCAAAATGCCTCAGAATTTCTTAAGATGAACTTAGATCTACAACACATTGACTTGATGAATAATAACTTAAAAACTCTACCAGATGGCCTTTTTTGTCATCCTTTCAGACATAAGCTTTCTATCATATTGGACAGAAACAACTTACAATCCCTTCCGAACTTTCCGTCGAAACAAAATAAAATCAAACTTATCAGTCTGAAGTACAACAGATTTTCGTGTCTAAGTGAAGACGATATGGCTAAACTTAACATTATAAAACCTTCAAGTATATTTCTTCGTGGAAATCCGATTGAATGCTCATGTAATACACTACATTTTCTTAAATGGGTGCACCAATCAGGTCTTATTAGTGATGTTGATGAAATAGAATGCGTCCTCCAAACTGGGACTCTTTCAATTTTGTCTCAATTCTTGCGAAATCTAAAAAAATTTGAAATCAGTTGCCAAACGAAATTATGGGTAACACTGGCAAGTTGCATTACTTCTGTCACCATTTTAGCTTTAATCTTTGGAATAATATACTATCGCTACCGATTTGCATTTGAGTATTTCTTTCTGAGAATTAAGATGAAACTTAGGCATTACCAGCCTCTTTTGGAAGATTTTAACCATGACGCGTTTATCTCATACAGTCATAAAGACATATCATGGATTAAAACTCTCTACGATAATTTACAGTCGAAAGGTTTCAGTCTCTGTTTGTATCACAAGGACTTCAAAGGTGGAATGCCTATTGCCGAGTGCATCGTTGAAGCCATCAATTCAAGCAGAAAGGTCGTATTTGTTATCACTGAGGATTTCCTCGAGAGTAGCTGGGGAACGTATGAAATAGAAATGACAAGAATGCATGCTTTCCGTGAGGGTCGTGAATCAATGATCATTGTTATACTGAAGGATGACATAAAAAAAGACAAACTTCCCAAAGCCTTGAAAGAAATTTGGTATAAGGTCGTCTGTATTGTGTGGCCATCTGATCCCGAAGCTCCGTATAACTCTGAGGAAATATTCTACAAGAAACTATGCACAGCATTATCAGATGGTCGTATGAGAATAAATGATGATAACACTTCAATGTAAAAGGCAAATATCAAACTCTTGTAAAGTTAAGACGAATATACAAATAATATATATTATATCAAGTCCGTTACGAATACATGTTTACATAATTGTATGCGATTTATGTGATAAACTTTTCAAAATTAATTTTATATGTATAACAAATTGTACTTTTTTTTAGTATGAAACTAGGATTAATGAAAAAAAATTAGTTGATGTAAATTTATTTTAAATGTATTGAACGATTCAAATTTTTAAAAAAAATGTGTAGAACCTTGTTGATCGTCTGTGAGACATTTGTCGAGTGAATCAAATTTCAAAATGACAGAAACTCCGAAACATTTATTAAAGCATGGTGCATATTTTACAGTAAGGTGAATATATAATAGCTATATTTTGTCTCAAAGCATAAATCTATGTGTACGATGCTTATATTCATGTAGAATACAATACTTTATCGAGAACTTTCATTCTGGTTCTAATCAAGTACTTTAACATATATGTTTAAAACAACATACGGTTGTTCTATTAATACTAGAAAGTAGTGAAAGATACTTAACTCATTAGTCGAAAATAAACTGCCAATCCAAAGCAAAAATGAAAAAAAAAAGACCTAAAGACCAACAACATTAAACAAAACACAACATAGAAAACAAAACACTGTGCAACACAAACCCACCTAAAACCAAGGAAAATTTCAAGGGAAGGCAGATCCTGCTACACATGTGGTACCCATCGTGGAAATTTAGAAATTGTTTCAGATTATTTTTCTGATAAGATCAATGTTATGTACCCAACAAAACCATTGATATATCATATTAAATATATAATGGATTGTGTCCGATTCAGAAACATTCCGGTAGTGATTCTAAGAATGATTATGATACATGTAACTGCGTGGACAGTCCACTAGTAGAGGTTTCTACTCAGTGGTAGCACAAACCGGTACAAATTTAACTGCACCAGATGCACATTTCGACAATGGATGTTTTTTCAGTGAAATTTGTAATCAAATTTTTTGAAAATTCAAAAATTCATTCAAACGTTGAAGAAATTTTTTCTCCAAAAATGATTAAAAGTAGAAATAAAATCGGACAGGGAATTAGAGATTTGAATTAGAGAGAAATAATTCCAAAAATTAACAACAACAGTGCTCAAAATAAAACAATATCTGATGAACGTATGTCATTTCAATATGTTCCATAATAACTTCCTTAAAATTTGTGTGAACATTGAAGATTTTAAATTTTGATACAAGTGTTGTAATTCATGACATCTGTGCTTAATTTGATATGAAAAATATATTTTCGAAAACCAAGTTATTTAACCACAATAGTTAAAAAAAGGCTTTTATATCAATTTGTATTAAAAATTAAATAGTGTCTAATTTAACAAATGTATAGCTTTGGTAAATGTATTGGTGTTTTCCATAGATTTATGATCTTTTATTTTACTACATCTTTGTTTGCCAAATGTATTTCACTTTAAATCATCATCAAAAACAAATATTCAGTATGATCATCTTTTACTTATTCCTTCTTTTAACTAGCTATTACTTATTCATACCTCAAATAGTTCTGTTTTTTTTCTCTCTCTTAAAACTTCCGTTTTCAGCTGACCTGATCCAAAGTTTCAAATGATCTTTTCTGATCACTAGGCGTCAGTCGTATGTCTTCCATTTAAGAAATCTTCTCTGAAGCTACTCGGCTTATTGGAACAAAACTTTGTCAGAATGTTCATTTGGGTATCTAGTTCTAAAATGTGTACGATGATTTCGACTTTCAACCAAAATTACCGACAGTGTTTACATACTGGTAAAATGTAAGTTTTGACTATCATGTTAAAAACGGCCATAGATAAAGAAAGTCTGATGAGGCAGAAATGTTTAGAATAATGAGATATATCTACTTGTTATTACGTAGAAACTCTCAGAACGTTTCTTATAGGAGTCAAAGCCTTAAATGACTAATTTCATCAGTGTTTTTTTTTCCCGTTTTGCCTTTTATCTTGACATGCATAATGAATATGTTTTGTTTTGCAGTTTTTCATATCTTCATCATATATTTAACATAATGATAGAAACCTTCAAAGCAAAAATTTATCCGGAAATCAAGATCTACAAATTGATTTAGGGTCCTCGTCGGCTAGCATTGTGAGTTTTCCAACCTTGGGTCAGTGCTTCTCTCCGGGCATTCCGGCTACCTCCACCATTTAAAAATAAACGCCACAAAATAGCACATTCAGTTTGATGTTGTTAAACACTAATCAATCAATTAACTAATGAGTTGAACGGCTGAAATTGTCGGCTGACTCATTATAGGAGTTACTAATCTTAAAAGACCATTTCTCTCGATTTTACTTATCTTTTTGAAAACTATAGTAGATAGAGAGAAATTTTAACTAGAAAAAAAACCCACAAGACAAGATCTACAAGCAAGTAAATAGTGCGGAAAAGGTTTGTCGACTTTTTATTCAAGTTATTGTTTTTAATTAACTTTTTTATCAACTTGTTCATTTTTGTCTATTATCTTGAAAACTATGATAAAACATTTAAATAGCAAAAATGATCGACAAGACTTGATGGTCATGGATGCCGATTATAATTTTTCAACAATAGTAAACGAAGCATAATTATGACAAACAGCGTTTAGCAATGCGATGGTCACATACATAATGCGGACGGGTGATATATTTGTGAAAGCACCAACACCCCTAACCTGGGACAGTCTTGTAATTTTATAACATTACTATTAAAAAAAATCCTATAGAATTAAAGTTATACTAAAAACTGTAAAAGGAACTTTCATGTTAAGTGACAATACTGGTTAATTATCTTCCATTGGAAACCAATAATATAAAAGAACTACCATTCAATGACACAGTCATTGAGAATTCTAATATGACGTGCTCTTTCGCTTTGTGAACAAACCCATGCTCGAAATCCAATAAAATTTGTTTGTACATGCGTATATTGACTACTGCAGAAAAATTAATATTATCAAATTGGCATGCATTTAATATATTTCATTATCTTAAAACACTTTCAAACTCTTAAATGATGCACACGTCATTACTAATACATAAACAATGACTGCACAGTGTTACAATTCGCAATTGACATACTTGACCTAGATACAACAACCTGTATGTTAGCTGTTCAAAATCCGTCCCTCTGAAAAACACATTGCATGTCGTCTGCTTGTTTACAAATAAAAAGGGATGTTCATGGAAGAGCCTACACAAACGCTCTACACTCATACACATCGGACATAGAAATTACCGTAATTGTTCTAATCAGAATCGAAATAAATTGATGCATCCTATACTCTATGGTAGTTTTAACATGGGTAGGCATGATATTCGTGGTATTTTAGCCCTCGCTATCGCTCGGGCATCACTTATCACGAATATAATTCATAACCATGTTAAAACTACAATAAAGTATAGCTTGCATCAATTATTTCTTAAATAAAATATATTTTGTGGAATGTTTCGCCTAAATAAATTGTAGATTGGTTTGAAACGTCGATATAAACATAAGAAGATGTGATATGATAAGACAAATCTCCAACAGATCAAATGACGTGGATATATATGTCATGTCATGTAAAAAGAAAAAAAGTATTACCAAAAGAACAAACGTGATCAATTTCTGAATCGTGTTTTCCCAAAATATTAAAAGGGAAAAAAATAATCACCTTGCACATATCTTTATAAGTTTGAAATATGAATTCGAAAAGGCTAATACACTATTTTTAAACTAAATTACTTCCTGGATTGTGATGATGCATTAAATTTTGGTTACAGATCATTTTCGTTAACAAATGAATAAAAATGAAAAGACCCAAACATAGAAAAATCAAATTTCAACACAACTTAAGCCTATGATATTGTAATGTATGGAATATTTGTACATAATTTAAAAACTAAGAATTATGTAGTTAAACAGTTAAAATATAAGATTTGTACAACAATTCATATTTACATTTATCAAATTGATATAAACAAATGTTCATGAAATTATTGAGTGATGATACTTAAATAGAATATTGAATTGAGGTACAATTATTAATTTGCATTTGATATTGCGAAACGAGGACCCTAAATCAATTTGTAGATCTTGTTTTCCGGATAAATTTTTGCTTTGAAGGTTTCTATCATTATGTTAAATATATGATGAAGATATGAAAAACTGCAAAACAAAACATATTCATTATACATGTCAAGATAAAAGGCAAAACGGGAAAAAAAAACACTGATGAAATTAGTCATTTAAGGCTTTGACTCCTATAAGAAGCGTTCTGAGAGTTTCTACGTAATAACAAGTAGATATATCTCATTATTCTAAACATTTCTGCCTCATCAGACTTTCTTTATCTATGGCCGTTTTTAACATGATAGTCAAAACTTACATTTTACCAGTATGTAAACACTGTCGGTAATTTTGGTTGAAAGTCGAAATCATCGTACACATTTTAGAACTAGATACCCAAATGAACATTCTGACAAAGTTTTGTTCCAATAAGCCGAGTAGCTTCAGAGAAGATTTCTTAAATGGAAGACATACGACTGACGCCTAGTGATCAGAAAAGATCATTTGAAACTTTGGATCAGGTCAGCTGAAAACGGAAGTTTTAAGAGAGAGAAAAAAACCAGAACTATTTGAGGTATGAATAAGTAATAGCTAGTTAAAAGAAGGAATAAGTAAAAGATGATCATACTGAATATTTGTTTTCATGAAATACCGGAGGTGACATTTTTCAAACCAGAAGTAACAAATTATCTCCCTCATTTTCATAAAAGTGTATGGAAACCATACATTTTTTAAATCAACGTACAGTGAGCTATCATCTGACACTAGAAATGACATTTTAAACCAGATTTTAATATATATAAAAATATAACATTACCAGTGAAAAGACCTTTAATTGTTCTCTGAACTTTACTTATAGTTTTTTTTTCTTTAAGGTAGATGGATTGGGGTTGGGGATTAATAAAAATCGATAATTTGTTCATAAATTACCAAAATGTAGCTTATATCATGATTTTTTTCTAAAATATAATATAAAGTATGGGTCACGCTTTTCTTTCTTGTTTAAAATTGTCGTGTTATGCACAGATTAGAAATAAAAAAAAAAACAATTTTGAGTGATAGAAAGAAAAAATAAACGATAGAATTTAAAATAAAATATGGGAAGACAGCTCTAATAATTCTTAAAATGAGCTATCAGAAATTAAAAAAAGAAAATTGGGGTTTCTTGCTACAAAACAAAATAAAAAAACTCATAACACATTCCTTTATAAAGTAACATTATTTAAGTAATCTTCCCTTATATGGAAATAGTTGAATTAAACAAAATATATTCTGTTTTTGAAAATAGCAGTTGTAAAAATATGATAAAACACGCATTTTTCTGCATCAAGATGAAAAGAATTACTTATTGATAACATTCTTCTCTGAAAATTTGTA